CTTTGTAGTATTTTTTTCTAGCCTTTTTTAGGATTGATAATTTGAATTTGGATAAAATATTTCTGGAGTACATGTGTCCCAAATCATAGGTTAAGTTTCTGCAATGAAAAATACTGGTAAAAAAAAGAATCTCTAAAAAAAACTTGGGCTGAGTACAATGTATCAGGTTGCCGGTGATGTTTCTGTCTGTCTGTGTTGTCGAAAGCACCTGTCCCTTGACATGACTTCACTCCCTAGCTGTTTTGTTTGTTTGGGTTGTTTTTTTCTTTTTCTTTTTCTTTCTGTATCTGCACTACCAATGTTCTGCTGTCTTCTTGATTTTATTTCTGTCGTTCTAATGGCGCTCGTAAAACTCTGACCAACTTATGAACTAACTCTAACATTGTTTACTTATCTTGTATTTCTCCTTTTTTTAGGGGCTTTGATGATTTTTGTTTCTTTTTTGACCAGGCTTCGAAAAATCTGATTTAGCTTGATTTTTTAAATAGAAATGTACAATTTTTTGGGCTATTTTGGATTTTGGATTTTTCCAAAAAGGTAGTTGGGAACAGACTTGAGTCTTCATAGGTGCCGAGGAATTATCGCTGTCTGGTTCCTCGGTTGTTATTTTCTTACTTTATTATTCTGTCTGTCACAGTACAAAGTTTCAGTTTATATAATATTGATATTATTATGCACGTGTGTGTTTGCATATAGTTTATACATACTCATACACACACGTGTGTGAATTACACACCCAACACACTTTAAGTCAAATTTGTAGCCGACAAGACGGAATCACTTTTTGGAAGTGTTACTGATACGTTTTCAAAAATGGGGGTTGGAGAGGGGGTGAAAGGAAGGTGGGGGAGAATGTGTTTGTTCGTTTTGGGTTGGGGGTTTTTTGTTTTTTTTTGGTAAGTGTTTTACGGCGCTCGCAACTGCAAATGGTCGATCATGAGCGCATGTGACACATAAAGAGCTCTCCTTTGAAGAAGAGAGGTTGAATACATTTAGTGGGAATCTGTGTGAATGGAGAAAAGAAATACGAACAAAGAGGAGATTTGATTATATGGAAAACAATTCTGAATTAATGAAAAGGGGTTCCGACCGATTCCGATTAAGTGATTAGGAATTCTGAATAAATGAAGAGGAGTTCCTTATAAATGAGGTGGCTTTCTGAATAAGGGAAGACAAGCTATAAATCTGTTTTGAAAAAAAAAAAAGGAGAAAGTCTGAATGAATCATCAGAAAATCTTAGTGAATGAAGAAAATGTTTAAATTAATGAAGAGGAGTTTTGAATAAATATAGAGGTTTTGAATAAGTCAAGAGAAAGTCATCGTGAGCTAAGACCGAACAAATGATTGAATAGATGAATAGAAGTTCTGAATAGACTGATGATTTTGAATTTATTTAGATCTACTTCATTTTATTTATTTATTTTATTTTTTTAATGGATTAATTAATTAAATTAATTTCTTTGTTTGTTTGTTTATTTGTTTATTTATTTATTTATTTATTCATTTATTCATTTCTTTACTTTTCAGTAGGAATGTTTGGTTGTGTGTATTCTGTGTCTCACTCTGCATGAAGGAATGTTATTCACACCAAACGTTTGACTGCACAGTCGTCTTGTCTGCAAGCTCTTCTAGTTGTACCCATCCACTCACTGCTTTAGTCAGTGTGGTTGTACACACACATAGACACACACACACACACACACATACTATACACACACACACACACACACACACACACACACACACACACAACTACACACACTTACACACACACACTCACACACGCACGCACGCACACACACACACTCACACACGCACGCACGCACGCACACACACACACACACACACACACACACACACACACACACACACACACACACAAGCTGCACTTTCGGGGGAAAAAAACCCATTATCTTGTGTGAGATAGTTCCTCGAGCGTGTCTGTCTGTCTCAATTGTGTGTCCGTGGGTGTGGAACATCATTCATGATGGACTTGTGGGTGGTTGGTGGGCGCCTCTGGTGGCTCTGTCTGTCTGTCTGTCTGTCTGTCTGTCTGTCTGTCTGTCTGTCTGTCCGTCTGTCCGTCTGTCCGTTCGTCCATCCGTCCGTCCGTCCGTCTGTCTGTTGCACACAGGAGACCGAGTTCAGTTTCCGAGTGGGGAGATAATGTATTTTTATTGAGTATCCCCAGCGGTCTTTCAGCTGGGATGTTGTATCCCTCTGGGCTCGGGGTTTCCTCATATTCAGAGTCGGAAGCCCACCTCCTGAATGTTCTAAAATGGGATGATGGGGGCGTAAAAACACCACCATTAAAAAATATATATATATCGGCGGTGTTGTCAGCAATCCACTTGGGTTCAAATTTTGAGAATTTTCTATTTTTTCTAGATGCACCTTTCAACATCACCAAAATGCAGTTTAGTGCTTTGGTCAAGGCTTACAGTTTTCTTGCTTATCGCGATTCCTGGGTGGTTGGCGGGTGCTCGGGTGTGGTTTGCTCCTTCTTTCCTATTTTAAAAAAACAAACAACGATCGTCCTTCTCTCTCCTCCTCCTTTTTTGTGTTTGTTACTCTCTTGTAAAACCTCTCATCTTCGGCACTTTTATGACCTTGTTGTGTTACAAGTGCTGTAAAACTCTTACTAAAAAAACTAAAACTTTCATGATTTCTGACAGGAACTACACAACTGAAACTAGTTGGGGGTTTTTTTTTGTCTCTGATGTAAAATTCCCCAAACAGACTTAAATGAATTGTTTGCGACACTGACGAAATGTACTATAATATTATTGTTCTTTTTTTGTGGGTCGTTGGAGGGTGCCACTGAAATGTTGCACTGCGCTGCATTTCACTGGCATTTCCCTTTGTTGTTGCTGCTGTCTTTCTGTCTAGTTTTTTTCCCCAAGCACTAAATGTGACATTTTTCAAGTAAATGTGACATTTTTCAAGTTGATGTTCATTAAAAAAAACAACTCACCTTCAAGTTGAAAATTGTCCTCTTTTTTCTTCTCTTTCGCTTATAGTTTGAATGTACCAGTGTTGGTGTGAGGTCAGTGTGTTCAGAATGTGTTCCTCCTGTTGTAGTCATTGCTCTTTTCTTGGCCTTGTTGTGTTTTACCTATTGTTGAGTAGTTCACGTGGGCACGTGCACACACGCAAACGCACACACACACAACTTCCAGACAAGCAGACATTCTCACATGCGAAATGTAGTGGCACAGGATTGTGTTGAACATGTGCGTTTTTAGACAACCCCCCCGTCTCTCTTTCTCTCTCCCCCTCTCCCTCTCTCTCTTTCTCTCTCTCTCTCTCTCTCTCTCTCT